CCAGCCCAGCACTCCCTGCTGGTCCCCGACCCTGTCCCCATCCTGACACCCCCTGCTGACTCCAACCTTGTTCCCATCCCAGTGCCCCCCCTCTGGACCATGCCACACCTGCTCAGGCAGGGCGATGCGCTCCCCATTGGTGAGCGTCAGCACCTTGTTGTCGTCCATGACCGAGTTCATGCTCTCAATCCACAGAGTATCCACAGGTCCATCGAACACCACCCACTTCTCATCTGGCCTCTCGTCTGCCAGGAGGGGCCCATGAGCAGCACCCCCTGTCCTCTGGTCCCTTCCTGCCCTGGGGGTGACTAGCTCCATCTCCTCCTCCCAGCCCAGGGCCCTGCTGTGGGGCTCTGGGAGCTGAGCTGGGGTCTCTGGACTCTCTTGGACTGGGGTGGGTACGGGGGGGAGCACTACGGCAATTCACAGGGGTAGGTGAGAGAGTGGCCCTGCACTGCAGCCTCTAGGGGGCACTGCATCCCCAGTGCAGTACCCCCGGGTGGATGGCGGGGAGAGGGGGCCGACTGGTGTCAGCTGTGTCACCAGGCCCACAGGCCCATGTGCCAGCCCTACCCCCACCCAGCTCTGCACGCCCGTCGCTCCCGTCAGCCACGATTAGCCTTGATATTGGGGTCAGCTGTGGGCCCTCCCCCCGTGTCTCCTAGCAACAGCAGCCATGTCTGCCCACCACCTTAGCCTGGCACGCACAGCCTTGCCCTGCGGTCACCAAGATGTGGAAGCACGGATGCTGGGCTCAGGGAAGGGGCTGGGTTCAAAGGTTTGATGCCAACCCCCTCCCACATCTAGATGCCATCTAGGTGTATGGTCCTAGTATGCCCTGGATAGGCATGGCCTGGGGGGCTGAGAGCAACCCCTCCATGGGGGCCCCACTTACCTGCACATGCTGAGCGCATGACACTGGACAGGATGCCATCTGTCCACTCACTGGTGCTGAGGTCATACTCCCCATACAGCTCCCCCAGCGACAGCGCCTTGGGGTTAAGGGGGAACTCCTGACAGGGGCAGAGACATGGCTGTTGGGGCAGCGGCAGGCCTGGCCCCACCTGGCATAGGGCAGAAATCTGTGAGGGGTTCCCCGGGCCAGGTGTTCCCAGAGGACCAAACAGCTCAGGGTTCAAGGCCCAGGATGCAGCAAGATGGAAGAAGCCCCCAATATGCCACCCGAGTCCAGCACACCTCACTCAGGGCAGGGCCATCCCCAGAACTTGTCCCTTGGAGATCCAAAAAGCCACCTGAGATCCGACCCAAGTCCTTCTAGCCAGGATTAGCCTCCATAGCTTACTCCCAGGAGAGGGAAGAAAGCCCCTGAGATCCCATTCAAGTCCAGCACATCTCACTCAAGGCAGGGCTGTCCCCACGTCTTCCTCCATGGAGATGGAAGAAGCCCAGTGAGATCCCACCCAAGTCCTTCTGGACAGGATTAGGCCCAGTAGCCTCTATTGAGGAGAGGGAAGAAGGCCCCTGAGATGCCTCCCAAGTCATGCCTGCCCCTCTCAGGACAGGGCTGTCCCCAGACTTTCTCTGTGGAGAGAGAAGAAGCTCGCTGAGATCCCACCCAAGTCCTCCTGGACAGGATTAGCTCCCATAGCCTATTCACAGGAGATGGAAGAAGCCTCTGAGATAGCATCCAAGCCTACCACCTGCCACTCAGGGCAGGGCTGTTCCCACAACTTGCCCTGTGGAGAGAAGCCCCCAAGATTCCTTTGGATAAGTTTATATCCAGTTGATGGAAGAAGCCCCCCAAGATGCCACCTGAGCCCCATCCCCAGGAGACAGATGTGTTTCCCCTGCCCCCGTGTCTGCAGGACCCCGCCACTGACCCTGACAAGGTTGTAGGTGGGGTCCCCGCCCCGGTGCAGGGCCGACAGGGCAGCCTGCAGGATGCGCCAGGTCACTGTCTTGCCACTACCAGTGCTGCCCACGATGACGGTGGAGTGGCGCGAGTTCTTGGTCTCATGGAGCTGGATCACCTTGGTGATGGTGAGGGGTGTTACCTGGAGCCCCACCTCCTTCAGCTTCCCCTCAATGGCCTCCTTCAGCTGCAGGGAGGGCAGAGGATATTCAGTCATGCTCCACACTTTCCTAAAGCCCTTGGGCCAGCCCCCTCACTCTAAATCCACTGCTGGCATCAGGGGGGTGAGATGGGGGCAACCTCAGACCTCAGTCCCTGCCCCCGGGCGAGACCCTAGAACACAGGAGTCCAAGAAGCCAAGTCAAATCCAAGAGACCCCCTCCTTCCCCATGGCACAGAGAGAACCCAGGTGTCCTGACCCCACAATCCCAAATCCAGAAGACCCGCCCTCCCCTCCCCACACCAAAATGAGGACCCAGGAGTCCTAGAATGCCTCTTGGGTGCGGTGCCCCTGGCTGGCACCAGGTGGCGCTGCAGCACCGCAGCACAGACCTTGCCATAGTCGATGATGGGAGACTCAATGCCTGGGAAGAGGTCCTGGACAATGCCGGCGAAGAGGGGCAGGTCGCCAGAGGTCAGCTTGGCCACGTTCATGTCCTTCATGGCCAGGAGCAGGATCTGGGGGACACCTGGGTGACGGTATGGGGACAAGACCCCTACCCCAGTGCCTGGGGGGGGCTTCTGGATCCCCCGTATGTCCCAGTGTGCTCTGGGGCCAATCCCACTCTGACCCATCCCGCAACCTCTGCCAAGCCCACTTTGACCTCACGCTGCAACCTCCTCCACCCTGGTCAGATACGGCCACCACCCTGGTGTCCCATGGGGAGCTTGTGGATCTCCCATGGGGTATCCCAGCGTGCCATGGGGGCAGGACTGACCTCCTCATCGGTGAGGTCAGCATGGGCGCGGCGCTTGCGCCCAGCATAGCGCAGTAGGGATGTGAGTGCCCGCAGCCCAAAGTCGTAGTGGTCCTGCCGGGAGAGCTGCTGCTGGGCCAGTGAGTACAGTGTGTAGACCTTCTTGGCCAGCACCTGGGGGCGGGAGGGGCATGGCTGCCATCATGGTGCCAGGCTCTGCAGTGAGGGGTGGGGGGAAAGCACCGCCCCCCTGAGCTGGCACCCAATCAGGAAAGAAACATCCTCCCATGTCCATCCAACTGGCTCTGAAGACACCAAGGAAGGGGTTCCTGCCTCCAGTTGAGTCACTAGAAACCAGTGGTTGGGTGATAATGGGGGGTCCTCATCTCCCACAGCAAACCAGTGCTCCCAGTATGGAGTGACTGGACCCCCAGACTAGGATGTGAAAGCCCCTTGAGCCCCCCAGCGTGCCTGAAACATCCCCCACTGGCCACCCAACAGTGGCTCAGCAATTAACAACCAACAACACTGTTCTTCACCCTCTGCAGCAGATCAGTGCTACCAGTATGTGGTGACTGGACCCCAAAGTGGGCTGTGAACCCCCCCCCCCCCC